AGACTGCAAAGTTTTAAAAAATGGAAATACCATGCAGTCAGAAGGTGGTAGAACGCAGAGGGACCACAGGACAACTTGAACAGTTCATACCAGTCTCTGTCCATCCAAGCCAGTCCTGGTTCACAGGAGTGGAAGAAGTCAGAGCCATTGGATTTGAGCAGACTCAGGTGCTTACTGAACCTTAACTGTACACCAAGTGCTGTACCAGGTTATGAGACTACAGGGTTGTACCTCCCCTGGAGGACAAGCTATTGAAGAGAGATGTATAAATATGTAACTATGATAGAGGATGACAAGATCCTTCACAGAAGTATGAGCAGAATGCTATTTAATTTTGCCAGGGAAAGGTAGAGAAAGCTGAGAATCATATGGAGAGGTAGTGATGTTTGAACTGGGCTTTGAAGCTTGAATAGGTGCTCTTTGACAGTCATTGAAAGGAAAACAATGATAGAAGAATTAAAAGAACATGGGCTGCCTCATAGTACAGGGAAGAGCCTGGCCAGATTGTGAAGACTGAATGCCACACAAGGAAGTTTAGATTGCCTGTAGACAGTGGAGTACTGTTTTCTGTTACAACAGTGAGCTCTTGTTATAAAGGACTCCGAGCTTCAGTGTGCTTTAGCTTCAGATGTACACACCAAACGTCTCCTCAGAGCACCTGCTATGGATCAGGTACAGAGCTGCCTGCTTTCACAACACTTTCCAACACCGGACAACCTGGAATCAAATTCTGTCTGTGCCACTTACTAACTGTGTGACACTGAATACTTAACTTTTTTGTGCCTCCATTTTCTTATCTGTAAAGTAGGATGATAACATACTACATAGCATTGCTGTATGGATTAAGTGAATTAATATATGTAAAGCCCTTAGAATAGTGCCTTAGCATTATATAATTGTTAGCTAGTATCATCATCATCATCATCATCAAAGGAAGTATTGGTCTGGGCACAGTGGCTCACACCTATAATCTCAGCACTTTGGGAGGCTGAGGTGGGAGGATCACTTGAGGTGTGGAGTTTGAGATCAGCCTAGACAACAAGCAAGACTTTATCTCTGAAAAATAAAAAAAGTTAAAAAGAAAAAAAGTATTGTATAGAGGGAAGAGAACTTTGGAATTTAAGAGGTGCATGGGGGACAAGTTCAATCCTTCTGGACCTCACTTGCCTCACCTGTGAAATAGGAATGTTTTTCAGGCTTCTTATGAGCATCAACTATAATAATGCTTTGGAAATAAGTAAGTAACTATAAAGAGGCTACCTAAACATTGCTATTAGGTATAATGTGATTACTACAGAGTCATCATATAACTGATCTGTATTAAACAAACCAGACTTACCTAAGTGGGTTCTGCTGTCATTAATTCAGTCATTGTTAGTTAAGTGCCTACTCAATACCATCACCTTATGCCAGTGATGCTGCTGTTCTGGCCTCCGCTTTAGAATTCTTCAGAACCTGGGATCAGTTTTGGTCTTAGGCTTTTTAGTTAGTTGCAATGAACAGAAACACATGCTAGCTTAATTTAAAGGAGTTTTACTGGCGGGACACAGGGGGATTTCAGGTACCCAAGCATAGGAAGTGTAGCCATGTTATCTGGAAAGTCATCAGGCTGTGGCTTTTCCAACTCTTTGTGATTTTGTGGTTTTTCTGGCCTCAGCTCATCTATTATTTCTGGATTCTTCCTGCAGAATTGCTTTCTCTGCAAAGCTGGTGGCTTTTGCGTCTTCATATTTTTTGGCTGGTGAGCGGTGTTGTCTTGCCATGGTACCTGCTCAGAGATGTGCTATGACCTTACTGCTCCAGGACCCATTATCACCCAACTCCCTTAGTCTGTGTCCTCTGAATTCAAGAGAAGGAATTGGAATCATCCAGTGAAGTTGGGTGTTCACTCTGGTCCCATCAGCTACGGCAAGGTTGTGAAGAATGTTGTGTAGTACAGACAGGCTGCCTGGACTTTGTGGGAAAGGGCAGAGTTGCTGAGAGAGGGGAGCTTATTAGTATCTCTTGAATTGTCTTGGTGGCTGCAAATCTCCATGCTTTAAAATGGGTATGAATTTTTGGAACAGCCAAGAATCATTCAGGGGATAGCTTTATAAATAGTCGGTAAACCTAGGAAATGTCATAGGGGTCAAAAGAAAGTAGTAGCTATAAAGTAATGGGCTTTAGCTTATTTATCTTTTAAGGTAGTATTCAGAAAGGAGTTTTTAAGAAATATGGTTTATTTCTTAGCAGCACAATTGAAATTAAGGGTGTAGCTTCTTTTGGTGAGGACTTAAAAATGGACATCCTCATTTGGATTTTTAAAATTCCACTTAAGAATCAGGCACTTTTAGACTTAGAAGGCATTCAAGACACACTCACACCTTATAATAGAAGAAAACTGAGACTTTGAGTAAGGGGCCATGAACACATGGTGATGGAACTAGGATTGAGTCTTCAGTCTTCCTGCTCTAAAGCTAGTTGCTGTCTTTAGCAGGAAAGGCCATCCCAGCCCAATGCTCTTTCTAGTATACCTTCACTGCCTACTAATGTTAAAAATAAGAAACCAAACTAAATAACAATGATCTAAACAGCCAAACTGTACAATTCCATTTATATGAAGTACAGAAGTAGGCAAAACTCCTCAACGGTGATGATAGAAGCCAGAAGGAAGCTGTCCTTTAAAGGACTGGAAGGTGGGAGATTGACTGGAAAGAGGTATGAGGGAATCTTCTGGCGTGATGAAAATGTTCAGTGTCTTGTTTTGGGTGGTGGTTACAGGGAGACGTGTATTTCTATTATACGAGGATGACCCCCCAAAAACCCTGGATTTATCTATTTAAATTTGTGTATTTAGTCTTATGTGTTTAAACTTCAGTCACCTTCAAACTGCTTTCAATTTGAAGCAGTACACTCCTCAGAATAGTTTTTGAACTCAGTAATGTTGATGCCTTTTAATGTTTCTGCCGGTTATTGTTTCACCTCTTCCACACTGGCAAAACATTTCCCTCTGAGGACTTTTTCAAATAAAAAGAAGTTCCTCAGGGTGAGATCAAGGGAATAGGGAGGGAGGGCATGGGGGTCATGCTAGTTTTAGTCAAAAACTACTGAACACTCAGTGGGGGTGTGGGCAGGTGTGCTTATAAATTACTCATCATAAAATGTGCAAACAGGTTAAAAGAATCTCCAAAAAAAATTCACTGAAGCCGAACGCAGCCTCACACAACAACACTAGCTGGTACACTGATGCCAATAGGTACTTACCTAGACTGGGCTCAGTGACTCAGCCTGTAATCCCAGCACTTTGGATTGCCTGAGCCCGCAGGTTCGAGACCAGCCCAAGCAACTTGGCGAGACCTCGTCTCTACGATAAATTTAAAACATTAGCTGGGTGTAATACCACGTGCCTATAGTTCCTGCTACTTGAAAGGCTGATGTGGAAGGATCACCAAAGCCCAGCAGGTCGACACTGGAGTGCCCATGAGTGTGCCACTGCACTCCAGACTGGGCGACAGAATGAGACTCTGATTCAAAAAAAAAAAAGAATACTTACCTAGCAGGGGAAACCTGTACTACAAGGGGCTTCTGGGATTTTTTGGGGTCCCCTTTGTATATGTTTATATAGACACAGATATATACACTTAGGCTCTATACATGTATATCTCAGTTTTTAAAAATGACCTCACAATTGCGCAGTTGTACCTCCTAATGACAGTAGATTAGCCGATAGGATAAGGATGCATCTCTAGGGTGCCACCCCTGGAATGAGAAATCCCTGCCTTGCTCTGTCACTGGATTAGAACATTTCAGCCAGAAGTTATGTGAATGGGGTCAATGTCTTCTTCGAGGCTTGTTGTCTGTCTAGGCACATGAAAATTACACATGAAAAGCTATGCCTGGAGCTGCAGAAGTTGGAAGCTTTAGGGGCCATCAGGCCAGCCTTTAGGCTGGATTTAGATGCAATGGACAGAAATTCAGGCTAGCTCAGGGAAAGGGGAAGAGCATGACCAAAGTCACCTCCAGGTTGTGTCCCCCCTTTACAGCTTAACCAAACAGAGCTTGAGTTTTGCCATCTTCAAAGGGAGGTGATAATCCTATTCTGCCTACTTCATAGGGCTACTGGGAGGACTCGATGGTAAGTGGAAGCACTTTGAAAACCATTTCTTTTACATTGTCATGTTCTGGAAATGTTGGTATTTTTGATGATTGACTTCTGAAGCAGCCCACAGTGATTAGGAAATGGTCATGAAAGCTTCTCTCTTTCTGAGGCTTACAGGTTTATAGGGGACAAGACTTTACCCCTTTTCACAAAGAGATTTGTACTTACTAGGCTATAAGAACTGACATCTGTGTTTGGGCTGAAAAATTGATAGCATACGTGAATAACAGCTTAGCAACAGCTATGCTGCGTATGCCAGGAGAGGTAGGTGGTCCCCATTAGTGAGGCATGAATTGCGGGAGAGTGGCTAAACCTGGAGGATGCAAAAAGGTCTTTTTCATTAAGAGAGAGGCCGTTCCTGAACCTGTAGGCAAGAAATGTAAACAGACATTGAAATAATCCATCAGTCAAGTGACTTGCCTTCCTCAGACCCTGGAGAGAGAATGTTTTAGCTACTGCTTGGAATACCACTAAGCTATCAGAGTTGCCTAGGATACCAGTCACATGGGCCCATCTTCCAGACTTGCTCAAAATGATGTATTTTCCTTTATTTTGGAGAGAAGTAGGGGAGGGGTCAGGGGTGCCTACAAAGCCTTGTCCTGCTGGAAAGAGGCCTTTGTAAGAGGATGGCCTTACCTCCCTTACTTGAGTTCTCAGCAGCCCTTGCCCTAGGCAGTAGGGACTAAAATAGCATTTCCTGTCCCAGTTCTCTTCCCCATTTTCTGAATGTTTTCCCACACAAAGGAGGCTCCACATTGTGTCCTTTGAGGGGAAAGGAGTGGCAGCAGTGAGTAGGGAGGAGCCAAGAGTGCCTACAGCTTGGCCCCTTTGACCCTGGGTTCTTCCTGGATGACAGCAGGGCAGAAGTAGCCTGGCTCCATCAGCTAACCACTCAACCAAGAAAGGCTGTCTGTTCTTATCTGTCTCAGAGCATATGCTTCTCCCCCACCCCAAGGGCTCAAGACAGGAATTTGTAAGAAATATGCTCTTCTACCACAGAGTCCTCTTGACCCTAAACCAAAGTGTCACACTGGCAGATTTTGCTACTGTCTTATCTGTAGATGATAGATAGGTTTGGCCCATTTCTACTTGCTGCCTTAATCTCAAGAGACAAAAGCCCAAGGAAAGGTTGTGATATGATCTAGAAAAGTTCGAACCAAGTAGTCCCATGTGTTACTGTAGGCAGTATCTGGCTTCAAATTCTCCACAATATGTAATGAGTAAAAAATGAAGGTATACTCTGACTTTTTCCTTCTTTCTGATTTTTTTCTCCCCAGGCAGCTGTGTCTGTGTGTGTCTTGGAGAAGTAGGGCCCATTGGAAACAATGCCACCACCATCAGACATTGTCAAAGTGGCCATTGAGTGGCCAGGTGCTAATGCCCAGCTCCTTGAAATCGACCAGGTATGCTCCTGAAATGCGAAGCAGCGATGCAAGGAGAGGGACCTGGGGAATACATGGCTGAGGATGTCTAGAGGGATGGGGACCCTAGGGAAAGTCTCCATGGCTTGGAGGAGGCTTCCTCTTCAACAAAAGCTATCAGGAAAGAAGTCCATTCTCATGTCCCAGCCTGACCCTGCCCTGGCAGCCCTTCTCGTCAGAGCTTTGGCATGAGTAGGTCATGGCTGCTCATGAAGGGTCTCTCTCTTTCTTTCAGAAACGGCCTCTGGCATCCATCATCAAGGAAGTTTGTGATGGGTAGGTTGAAATAGACTTCATTTTCCACAGTGGCAGCTCAGACTGAAGGCATGCTACCAGATATCGAAGGGAATTCTGCAAAGGCCCTCTAGTTAGGCAGGTCCCCAGCGTGGGGCTCTTGTGGATCATTGTGTTACCAATGAAGTATACAGTTGACAAGGATGCCTCTGAGACCTCCTGTAAATCTTAACTTTTTGCTTTAAGTCCAGGAATGCCCTACCTGAGGTCCTAATGGGATCTGAGACCCCCCCCCCAATTGTATGGACCTCCTTTTGTGGTGCTAATCTTTACAAAAGACTGAGGGGTGGATTTTTTCCAACTTCTCTCCCTAATGCTTTGGATTTTTTCCACTGTATTTCACATGCCTCCCAATCTCTTGAGCACCTCTGTTTAAAGTATTTATTTGCAGCTTCTGGACAGGCCCATAAGAATGGCCAGGTGGGATGTACTGTTCTTCTCTTACACAGGTGGTCGTTACCCAACCCAGAGTATTACACTCTCCGTTATGCAGATGGCCCCCAGCTCTACATCACCGAACAGGTTAGTACAGGCGAGGCAAGTCAATACAGGCCGTGCTTGGAAGTGAGCGACCCACGAAGGCAGCACTACTGTTTACTTGCCCAGCATCCGGGTAGCTTCCATTTGTTGGGTAAAGAGCCACTCCCTGGGGAGTGGGGAACATCAGCCATTGTTCTCTGATGGCTAAAAAAAAAATTGCTTTTACTTCTTGAGAACCCAGGGTGCTAGAAGATCTTAGAAGCCCTTTGCTGAAGAACAAGCAGGAGAAGAGGGCATGGTTGAGTGCCTCAGTTGCAAATGCTTTTTAAAACAACAGAAAGTTCTTGTTGACTCAACTTGCTTGTACTTTTTAAATATTCTGTCTTAGGTTTTTTTTTTTTTTCCACTACCCAGACTCGCAGTGACATTAAGAATGGGACAATCTTGCAACTGGCTATCTCCCCGGTAGGTATTCTTCCTTAGGGTTTTATGCAGTTAGCAAACATATATGAGCACTTGCTGTGGTCCATGCTCTGTTCTAGAAACTGGGACGCTGGCAATTAAAAAGTCACTTTTTGTATCCATTAAAATACAGAAAAACAAAGTCTGTCTTGGCTCTCACCACCTTGTTGGGAGTAAACAAACAAATATTATAAAAGACCTCTCTCAAGGGTCTTGAGAGAAAGTGCTTATGGAGCTGTGGGAGCTGACAAAAGGGACCACTCAACTTAGCCTGAGTATTTCCAGAAAGCCTTCCCAGAGAAGGGGACACTTAGCTCAGGTGTAAGGATAAGCAAGAATTTGCTGGAGAAAGAAGAAAAGATAAAGTAATGTAAGCAGATAAGTCAACATTGCAAAGGCACAGAGGAGTGCTGTGTTTGCAGGTTACTGGACAACTTGCTCGTGGGTTTGAACTCTATCCAGAGGAAAACTGGGGACCTTGAAGGATTTTAAGCAGGAAGGTACATGATTTTACATTTTAGAAAGACCACTTTAGTGACAGTGTGGGGGAAGGAAGGTTGGTGACAGGGGGACCCTTTAAGAGGCTAATGGAATGTCAATGGCACAGTGAAGCAAATGGCAATGGAGAGGAAAGGATGGATATGGGAAATATTTAGGAGGTGACCTTTATGAGTTTGGTGACATGCTGGATGTGCAAGGAAAGGGGGGATGCAGAATGACCCCCTGATTTCTATAAGAGCACCCTTAAAGACCACAAGGAAGCAACCAGAAGGGTAGAGAGAACACCTAGAGTGTGAAATCCCTCCGGAGCTGAGGGCAGGGAAAGTGTCAGGATGGTAGAAGGTGTGGACTACAGTTTCTAATGGGCAGAGAGATTTAGTTCACTGAGAACAGAAAAGCTGTCCACTAACCCAGGAAGTCAAGATGCCACTGGTGATCTTCACCACAACAGTTTTGGTGGTGGGGCAGGTAGCCAGATATCAGGGGTCTGAGTCAAAGAAAGTTTAAAAAGTGAGACCCTTGAGTCTCCCTGTGAGTCAGAAAGCTTGGCTTTGAAAGGAAGCAGACAGACAAGGTGGTAACTCGAGGCGCATGTGGAGTCAAAAGATGTGCTTTAAAAAAACGGGAAGCATCAATGTGCTCAAAAATCAAAATGTTGGGAAAAGATATAGTGAAGGTCTTTCCCTTACTCCTGTCCCCATCTCCCCAGTTCCCTTCCTCTCCAACTCCTCAAAGTTATTCATTTCTGTTGCAGTTTTTCATGTGTCGTTGAGAGTGTATTAAGACTGCAGGTGCAGGAAGGAGGGATAATCAGTGGAACAGGACCTTATTCAGTCGGGACAGGAAGGTCTCAAAGCCCAGTTGGAAGAAAGCACCTTGACTGCCAGGCCTGTGAGGAAGGTGGTCAATATGGGGGCAACTCTGGTGACATTTGTAGAAGGCTGGCCAAAGATGAGGGGCATGGTGGCACCTGTTTTCTTGTGATAGTGAGAGAAAGAGGTTTCTCTCTCATCTGAGAGAAGAGGAGGTTTGAAGTAATTTCAGCTAACATTTACTGAATGCCTGTATTTTGCTAAATACTTTGTGTATATTTATCATCTAATCCTTACAAACACCTGATGAGATAGGTGTTCCTGATAGCCCCATTTTGCAGACATGGAAACTGAGACTCAGGTTAAATGACTTGCCACTTGTCACACAGCTAAAAAGATGGCTGAACCAACTCTCAAACCCAAGTTTGTCAGACTCTAGGTCAGTATTCTTACCATCATGTTCTTCTGCCTCTTTCTCTTCTCCTGAACTCTTTTCATCTTAAGGACTCCATTTTTCCCTGCTAGGCTCTGGAATTTAACATGACAGTTGGGGAGTTACTCATTTTTATGGAAGTGCTGAAGCTCTTGCACAGTGTGGTTGACTCCCAGAAGCACATCTCTCTGGAACGGGAGGCAGCAGCCCAGAAATGCTGTCTCAGGAGGAAAATTGACATTTGGAGTTGGAAGCTTCTAAGTGGGATGCAGACCAGTGCTCGTCAAATTGTTCTATCCTGTGACCTTTTCCCTGGTGCACGTTTCCTCCACCATAGAGATGGTGGATGGTTTCTGTATCATGGAGAGCAGTGTGCTGTGAAGGACCATCTTTGTAACAGAGGCCCAGGGGAGAGGGATGGCAGGCCTGACTCCCTGACTGGCAGCAGGAGCTGGGCTCCAGTCACTTGCTTAACACTGAGAGAGAAAGGCAAGACAACAGGAGCATTTTTCTCCTGAGGCTCTTCCTTTTTAGTGTAGAGCATTAAATTAACACCCAAAAAATAGAGAATGATGAAACAGTAAGCTAGGGCACTGACTATGAAGAAATAAGTTCAGCAAAAGACCTGTGAACCAGAGGAGGGATGTCAGCCATCCCTTGCAGAAAATTAGGCATGCATTCTGCTAGGAATAGTGCATGTGCTGGAAGAAAGTTTTGTCTTCACCAGCCATCATTTTCATAAGACTATTTTGAAATTAACTTTTTCTGGCTCCTTGGTATTCTTAAAGTTCCCCTAAAACTGTTACTTTGAGGCACAATGATATGAACTTTGAGAGAAAGCTTTAAAAATTGATCAGGTAGCCAGGCTCGGTGGCTCAGCCTGTAATCCCATGCCTTGGGAGGCTGAGGTGAGTGGATTACCTGAGCCCGCGGGTTCGAGACCTGCCTGGGCAACTTGGTGAGACCTCATCTCTACAATAAATCAAAAAATTAGCCGGGTGTGGTAGCGCACGCCTGTAGTTCCAGCTACTTGGAAGGCTGAGACGGAAGGATCGCCGGAGCCCAGCAGGTCGAGGCTGCGGTGGCTGGGAGCATGCCACTGCACTCCAGTCTGGGCAACAGAGTGAGACTCCAACTCAAAAAAAAAGGAAAAAAAAATTTATCAGTCTTACCACATTTTAGGAGTAAAAGGGAACTTAAAGGTCATTAAATTATTCACTCAATACAAGAACTCCTTCTATAACATCTTTGACAGATAGTTGCCCAGATTCTCCTTGATTGTTTCTGGTGACAGGGAGCTCAGTACCTCAAGAGAAACCTTTTCCACTGTTTGAAAGTTTTCATAGAAATCTGTCCTCTATTAAGCCAATATTTTTTTTTCTGTGACTTGCTATAGTTAATGGGTCTCCCAGATCTCCCTTGTGTTCCCTTAGTAGGAATTTTTTAATTCATAGATGAGTAGTACAGAAAAGATATGGATAACCACAGATTGGTCTTGGTATAGTGAGAATGCCCAGATTGAGCCAATAAACATTTATTTAGCAACCCTTCTAGGCAGTGTGAAGTAACTAGTTCTGGCTTGGGTTTGGATGTCCATAGAAAGGCCCCTGTGGGCTGTCCACAGAGTAGTAACCTGTGCAAGGAGCAGCTGGCACATGTCTTGTCCCTGACCTCACAGTCCCGGGCTGCACGCCAGCTGATGGAGAGGACTCAGTCATCCAACATGGAGACCCGGCTGGATGCTATGAAGGAGCTGGCCAAGTTGTCTGCCGATGTGACTTTCGCTACTGAGTTCATCAACATGGATGGCATTGTTGTGTTGACGAGGCTTGTGGAAAGTGGAACCAAACTCTTGTCCCAGTGAGTATTACTGAGGTCTTGTTCCGAGGGACTTCAGAGAGTTACTGCACCCCACAGGGCATCCTAGTGTCATTTCTATGGAGTCAGATAAGGATTTTCTTGAACACCACACAGAGCAGTGTAACAAGCCCTGGAGTCCATCCAGAGAAGTCAACTCACCACTGTGGCTCTTCGTCTTGTATTAACAGAGTAGTTAGGACTGCTCGTGGAACAGCTCGCAAATTAATAGCAAAAAACAGTATTGTACCAAGGGAGTGGTAAAAGTAGGGGCTGTAAAAGTCAGGAAAAGAAAGGTCAGTCCATGTTAGACATGTTAATTTATGGGCAGTGCTTGGTCTGATGAGGGTTAGTGAGCATGTTCGTTATATCCCAAAACAGTGTCTGATTCTTAACTACCCTCCCTTCCTCTCCAGTCACTTCCCATTCCATACACAGGGGTCTTCCTTCATGTTTACCACAGGTTATCCCCTGCCCCTTTGCCCTCTCCTTGCCACACATTCACACAGGGTGGAAAAGATTCAGAACTTTGTGATATGCCACAAGCATCTTTGTTATACTCTAGAGTTGAGATGAATGTGGAAGGAAGCTGTGCCTTGTAATCAGCAGGGAATAGATAGATGCTTGGACTCCCATTTGAGCTTGTGGGGCCTGAACTGGCAGACAGAAATCTCTCAGCCTGTGGATCAGCTACTGAAATGTTCAGCAAAGTCAAGCAACTAATCATAGATATTTGTTTTACGTCTTGGATCTTCCAGCTGCACTGAAGTCCCAAAACCTTCAGCTGCCATGAGCACCGACACAGGTGTTCTACAGTCTCCCGAGAGGGCAGGGTTAGACTGGCCTTAGTTCTTCCTCTTCACCCTTCAATATTGTTTTGAGGATGATTGTTAGGAGAGGAGTGTGTCTGCACATACTTTTTAATTCTAGAGCACTGTACACATGTATAAAGGATTAGACATATAAGGAGGAGAGATGAAAGAGGGAACACATTTCAGTCCTTACTCTTTACCAGTAAGTACTTTGCATACATCATCATCCTGCCCTTGTCACAACCCATGAGGTTAACACTGTGAGACTAACTTGATTTTACAGAGGAAAAAATTGAAGTTTGGAAAGATAAAGTTGGTTTGGTTAATAAATGTTTGAACAGATTGAACCCATATCCTGCACTTCGCTGCCTCTTGGCCAAAAGGCTGACATGGGACTTCAGTCCCCTTAGGGTCCCCCACCAAGTGCTGGAGTTTGACAAAGACCTGATGTCTTCTTTGGCCTTGGGAAAAAGATATGTGATTCCATTCCCTGAGATGAAGCATCATAGAGAAGGAATGCCTCATCACACAGCAGCCTTATTTTTTTCAATGATAGATACCTGGGCTGAATCTTCTCTACATCTGACTAGATGTGCATGCAGGCACGTACAGTTGCATCGACCGATTTCCCATGGGACGTTTACATTGAAATTCATCTTTTTGGTGGCTGCCTTCACATCAGTGTTCCTGGATCTCAATCTTTGTATTATTTGTGTGTGTGTTGCACATGTCTCAGCTACAGTGAGATGCTGGCATTCACCCTGACTGCCTTCCTAGAGCTCATGGACCATGGCATTGTCTCCTGGGACATGGTTTCAATCACCTTCATTAAGCAGGTGAGGTATCCAACATTCTGCCTTCCTCTCCTCCCTTAGTTGCCAGTTGTTCCCTGGGCTTAAGGGGAGATGCAAGCAGTACAGCCATTCTGGTGAGAGTCAGCCTTGTATTCCCTGGGGCTGGATTTTCTATCCCTATGCTGTGGTCTTCCTGTGGCTTCTGAAAGACTTACACTTTGCTATAGTCTCAGAGCCTGCACTGAGAAGGCACTGGGCTCTCAGAACTGAATATGGTCAGAGTAGAATGGAATTTTCAGTGAGACTTAGAATAAAACCAGTCAGTCAATCAGTACCATCCCTGAATCGTCTGACTGGCTTCCTGAATGCTGCCCTTTTTTTTGGATAAAAAGTATACATTTCAGCTGGGTGTGGTGGCTCACACCTGTAATCCCAACACTTTGGGAGGCTTAGGTGAGAGAATTGCCTGACCCCAGGGTTCTAGGCCAGCCTGGGCAACTTGGTGAGACCTTAGCTCTACAACAAATCAAAAAAATAATTATCTGGGTGTGCTGACATGCACCTGTAGTTCCAGCTACTTGGAAGGCTGAGGCAGAAGAATCCCCTGAGCCCAGCAGGTTGAGACTGCGGTGGCCGTGAGCATGCTGCTACATGGGCAACAGAGTGAGACTCTGACTCAAAGACCAAAAAAGTGCATTTCATTTGCAAACCTACATTCTATGTACAAATCTACAAGGTAGCCTATTTGGCTTGTAAGGCTGAACTCAGTGAGAAAGAGAGTCCTTCTGGTTTTTCCCTCCTTTCTTCTATAAGAAGAGGCAGTGTCAATTCAGAAAACCAAACTAAAGCCAATGAATATTCTATCTGCTGACCTAGAATTTCACCTGTCATTGGCTTAGAGCATTGAGAACTTACCAACACTGGACAAAAGTGAAATGACCATGAGTCAAGGGTGTTATTATGGGGATTGAGAAGAGGGATTAGATTAAAAGACTTCAAGACCCTTTCTACCTCTCAAAGCCTGTGATGTTCCAAATGTGTGTAGGGAGAAAGTATATGTCAGGAGAAGAATGCATGGAGATAAAATGAGATCCCAGTATCAGTAAAATCGTTTGAGTTTCACTTTGTCACCCAGGCTAGAGTGCCGTGGTACGCTCACGACCACTGCAGCCTCAACCTGCTGGGCTCAGGTGATCCTTTCACCTCAACCTTACAAGTAGCTGGAACTGCAGGCAGGTGCCACCATGCTCAGCTAATTTTTTTTTAATTGTCGAGATAAGTCTCGCCAAGTTGCCCAGGCTGGTCTCTGACCCCTGGGCTCTAGCAATTCTCTGACCTTGGCCTCCCAAAGTGCTGGGATTACAGGCATGAGCCACTGTGCCCAGTGAAATCCATTGCTTTTCTGTACTCCACTTTTTCATGCCTGAATCCTTATTTTGAAAAAAAGGATTAAGCTTTTAGATTAAGAAAGCACAGGTGAGTGTGTCCTGTAATGTGAGATTGAGTTATTTATGCGTAGGGAATTCCTGGCACGCTGGCCACCTAGTGTGTCCACCTAACAGCAGCTGCCTGGTGTGGGCGCCACACCTAAAAGGAAAGAGCTTCAGGCACTAGCATTAGATACTCAAGCCTCTAAGCTCTTGGGCCCTGAGTTTCCCAGTTGATGTACCCCTGTCTGGTCCAGATTGCAGGGTATGTGAGCCAGCCCATGGTGGACGTGTCAATCCTTCAGCGGTCCCTGGCCATCCTGGAGAGCATGGTCTTGAACAGCCAGAGTCTGTACCAGAAGATAGCGGAGGAAATCACCGTGGGACAGCTCATCTCACACCTCCAGGTGTGAGTAAGAGACCCAGCACCTCCCTCCCTTCACCTGTCTGTTCTCCTCTGCTTTGGTTATATTCCAAGATGCTGGTCTGCTTGTTCATCCATTCACCAGCTCTTCCACACTAGTGCCAGAATTCCTCCCATAATTCAGACCTGTTTATGTTATGCTCCTGCCTAAAATCCTTGCCCCTTAGGCTAAAGTGAAGGACTTCTCAATCTACTGGTGCCGCCCAGTCCCAAACAAAATTAGATGCTTTTTCTATGTGCCCAATAGTCTCTGTTATACAGTTATACTGATATAAAATACTTTATTATCTATTGCCCATTTTAAACTTTGAGCTCCCTAGGAACAGGGACCAATCATTTTTTTATCGCCTGCCTTGATTTCAGCAGCAGCTCAGTTAGTATTAGTTGAATGAACACTTGCTGAACTGACACTGCACTGTGGGAGATAGCAAGAAGTATCGTATGGTGCACGAGTTTGGGGTACCTGTTGAAATCCAGGCTCTACTGCATGTGAGGTCTCGGCCTTCGGCAAGTTACCCAGTCTCTTCTTGCCTCAGTTTCCTCACCTCTAGACTCAGATTAACCATCTTCACTTCTTGGACTGTGAGAATCAAAGGAGATAAAATCTAGCATTATGACCAGCGCAGGTTAGGTAGTAAATAAATTCAGGGTTTTTGTTGTTTTTTTTTTAAGAATCTTCTCACATCCTAAAACATTTACCGGATAAGACCAGGTGACAAATGAACCTCCTGGAGTGCCATTCCTCTCCCTTTTTTTTTTTTTTGAGTCATAGTCTCACTCTGTTGTCTAGGCTGGAGTGCAGTGGCATGCTCATGGTCACCGCAATGTTGACCTGCTGGGCTCAGGCGATCCTTCTGCTTCAGCCTTCCAAGTAGCTGGAATTACAGGCATACATCACCATGCCCAGGTAATATTTTGATTTATTGTAGAGTCGAGGTCTCGCCATGTTGCCCAGGCTGGTCTTGAACTCCTGGGTTCAGGCAATCTTCTTGCCTCTGCCTCCCAAAGTGCTGGGATTATAGGTGTGAGCCACTGTGTCAGGCCTTTACTTCACATTCAGTCAATCTATACAGCCTAAAGGGCTGGACTTCCCAGAACAAGGGTGGTAATGCTGTTGATTCCTTTCTGACTCTTGCTCATGTCTGCGCTACTGGGTGTTGCTATAATGCTGCCAGCATCCTCCGCCAGTTCCAGGGGAAGTCAAAGCTCCCAGATCTGGGAGTTTAGAGCCCCCTATCTTCACTCAGCTGTGCTCCCAGCCTGTTTTTCCTCACTAATCCAAATAAAAAGAAGACACAGTGATTTATTTGCTGCTCTGATCTATCCTTGTCACTTTGAAGGACCTCGGCCTCAGCTTTCAAACCCAAAGAGCAAACAGGGTCGATTTGAGTGAGAGACATTATAAACCCCCATTAGGGAATTCTGACTTTCCTGTGACCTCACACCTACCTCTCTAGTTTTCTTGTTTTATTTGTCTCTGAATTGGAAATGCCTCCAGTTGCCTCCCTGAGGATGATAAGGAAATGTGGCGATTTTTTTCTTTTCTTTCTTTCTTTTTTTTTTTTTTAGTCAGGGTCTCACTCCGTCGCCCAGGCTGAAATGCAGTCATGGCTACTGCAGCTTTGCAGATAGTCCTGCTGGATGATCCTTCCACCTCAGCCTTCCAAGTAGCTGGGACTACAGGCGTGTACCATCATACCCGGCTAATTTTTTTATGTATTATAGAGACAAGATTTTGCCATGTTGCCCAGGCTGATCTCAAATTCTTCGGCTTAGGCAGTCTTCTTGCCTCGGTCTCCCAAAGTGCTGGATTACAGATGTAAGCCACCATGCCCAACCTTTTTTTAATTTTTTTTAATAGAGACAAGGTCTTACTCTGCCACCTGATTGGAGTGCAGTGGTTTAGTTATAGCTTACTATAGTCTCAAACTCTTGGACTGAAGCAATCCTCTTGTCTCAATTTCCTGAGTATCTGGAACTACAGGCACGTACCACCATGCTCAACTAATGGTTTTATTTTTAATGGAGATGGGTTCTTACTATGTTGGCCAGGTTGGTTTTGAATTCCTGGGCTCAAGCAATCCTCCCACCTCAGCCTCCCAAAGTGCTAGGATTACAGGTGTGAGCCACTGCACCTAGCTGAGACATGCCATTTCAGATTAGGAGCCAACTGTGAATTCTTTCAGCCCACAACTGTCACCAGAATGTATGTGCTCTGCTGTTTGGGCTGAGGGACACTTAGAACCCTCTGTTAGATTCCCTGGATGCCCCTGCCTGACCAGGAAGCCCATCAGCCCCTCGGGAAAGAGAGCCACAGAATGCATCTACAGCATGGCAGGTGGAGCCATTTTGTCAAGTGCCAGGATTATAAGATTCCAGAGAGTGAAATGTTTATTTTTATTTATTTATTTTTTTTGGTGGGGTGTCTCACTCTGTCGCCCAGTCTGGAGTATAGTGGCATGATCACGGCTCACCACAACCTTGACCTCCTGGGCTCAGGTGATCCTTCCACCTCAGTATCCCAAGTAACTGAGACTACAGGCACTACACCTGGTTAATTTTTTTATTTTTTGTAGAGATGAGGTTTCGCTATATTGCCCAGACTGATCTCGAACTCCTAGGCTTGAGCAATCCATCTGCCTCGGTCTTCAAAGTGCTAGGCATGAGCCACCACACCCGGCTGACAAAAGTTTTTTTAATTGAGTAATTTATCTTGGACATTTTCCCATATCAAAGAGCCTTCTGAAAGGGTAGTTCTAAACCTCTTTTACATCCCAGATGCCTTTGAAAATCCAGTAACAACTATGAACTCTCACCTTTTTGGAAAAAATATAACGTAGTCAACTAACTACATAGAATAATTTCTGTACCATTCCTGGGGTTCATAGGCACTAAGCCTATCCCTGAATCCCAGGTTAAGAATATTTACCCCAAGGCTGGGTGCTGTGGCTCATGCCTATAATCCCAGTACTTGGGGAGGCCAAGGTGAGAGGATTGCCTGAGCCCATGGGTTCGAGACCAGCCTGGGCAACTTGGTGAGACCTCATCTCTACAATAAATTTTTAAAAAATTAGCCGGGCATGGTGGCATGTGCCTAGAGTTCCAGCTACTTGGAAGGCTGAGGCAGAAGGATCACCTGAACCCAGCAGGTCGAGGCTGCGGTGGCCGTGAGCATGCCATTTCACTCCAGCCTGGGCAACAGAGTAAGACTCCAACTCAAAAATAAATAAGTAAATAAATAATATTTACTCTAAAACATGATTTTTAATAACTATTTATGATTATTGTATGTATAAACAGTTGCTAATGCAAACAATTGGAATACTTACTATTCTTTCTTTTTTAAATAGTGTTTTTTTCTTTTTTTGAGAGTTGGGAACTCACTTTGTCACCCAGGCTAAAGTGCAGTGGCACGATCATAGCTCTCTGCAGCCTCAAACTCCTGGGCTCAAGCAATCTTCCAGCCTCAGCCTCTTGAGTAACTAGGACTGTAGGTGCATGCCACCACATCCAGCTTTTAGTAGTACTTTAGTGAAACGCTGCCAATAAATCTTGCACAGCTCTCTGATAACTGTCTTGGGATAAATTCGTATTAGTGGAATTGCTGAGTCAAGAGCATGCCTATGTTTAATGCTTCTGAGACTCAGTCCCAGATTATAATCTGTGATTGTTTTAAACAGCATCATCTTGCTGTTCAGTTTTCTAATCTCCCTTTGCCTTTTATCTCCATTGACACAGCTCCAACCAGGAGATTCAGACCTACGCGATTGCACTGATTAATGCACTTTTCCTGAAGGCTCCTGAGGACAAGCGACAGGTCTGTGGCTGCCTTTTCACATTTTCATCTGGGCTCTTCTAAGAGAAGAATTCTCACTGCCTAGTCTTTGCTGTGCAGAGAGCAGAAATCCAGCCATTTTCCCAAGAGTTCTTCCAGTCCTTTGTGTCCAGAGCCCAGCAGCTTTGCTGAAGAGGACTCATGGAAGAACTGTGAGGAGGTCTTAGATCAGAGCAGGGACCTTCAAACTTTTTCCTCCAAAGGGCCAGAGAGTAAATATTTTCTACTTTGTGGGCCTTACAGTCTATGTGGCAGCTACTCAACCTTGCCATTGTATCCGAAAGCAGCCTCAGACAGGTGAATGCATGGGTATGGCTGTCTTCTAATTAGCCTTACTTGTGCTAATAGGCAGCAAACCTAATATAGCCATAGTTTGCCAACTCCTGGGTTAGAGAATCAAGACCAAGGAGTAGGAGACCCTGGGGCACCACTGAGTCCAAGGGGTTTGAAATGCACGGACTGAGCACGACATTTCACGTGTGAAGGTCCTCCGATGTAGATGCTAAACTTTCTTCTTTCTTCCCCTGCTCATTAGCTGTGTGATGTTAGGCAAATAGCTCTGCCACGCTGAACCTCAGTTTCCTCAGATGTAATATAGGTACAGCAAGATCTGCCTTGTTTACCTCACAAGGATGTCGTGGGGGAAACAAGACCCTTGTTTTACAAAGGAGGAAACAAAGAATCAGCTGGGTGGTGGAACAAGCACTAAGAGTTGAAGGGCCTGCATCTGAGTACTTGCCCTGCTTCTTCTCTGGGTCTCTGTTTCTCTTTCTGTAAAATGAAAGGGCTAGTTGAAATTATCTCTTGGGGCCCTTTGAACATGTAACATTCTAGATTTCTCTGAGAAAAGCTCAAGTGTACAAAAGTAAGACTTTAAATTCTCTGTCAACGTCAGAGGCTCATTATCAGTGGGATCATGTTCTGAGCACATGGGAGAGTCTAGAAGGAAGACCAGAAGCATTTGTGGTTCTGTCTGTCCTTGTCTTTCTTGGATGGCTTGGCTCTGTGAATCTCCTCCTTCCCAGTCCTTGTTTGAATGTAAGCTGAAGGCTCATTCCGTCTGCTTCTCTCTGTGCTTTTTGCTTTCTGCCGGCAGGACAAGCACCTTAATCCTCTAGACCTGCCTGTCACTGTAAGTAGCACCGCCGTGTGGAAAGGGCCCTGGCTCTTCCAGGTGGGGAGGTCAAAGCTGGGCAAGAATCTTATGGTCTGATCTAGATGTTTAGGGCACTCCAAGACCCAGGGAAAGGTTGTATGCTGTGAATCTCCTTTGTCAGGACACTTAAGGGAGTTCTGCAGATTGGAGTCACAGAAAGCATTAAGGGTGTGCCCGCCCCAGGGAGTGTGACCCAAGCTTTCCTTTGTAACTTAACTTTTTGTGGGTCTGTGGTTCAACTAGGGAAGATCAGATTCAGAAACAGCCTGTGACTTTCATCTAGACAATACCACAGATGCATCCCCTTGTCACTTGCCTTATCAAAGAGTAAAGGTAAATCTGTGCCCTCTTTGGACTCTTACTGGACTATAGGAATCTGAAAAGGTTCAGACAACTGACAAAAGTGAGTTTGAATGCTCATTTCTTGGTTAGAAGGAGCTTTAGAGAGGTCAGCTTTTCGAGGATGTGAAAAAGGATAAGTGCCTTCCCCGGCACTACAGAAAAGCTTTTGGTCTAAGACCTTTATAGTCTGGCTGTAGATCACTGTGAATTACGCACTTTGTGAGTTGTTCACAGCAAGATTTAATCTCAACCGGCCTCCTATAGCTACCAGAGATGTTTCTAGGCCACCTTCCTCTTCTGCCAGACAGTATATGTTCAGGGAATGCAAAGTAACACTTAATGTTCCTGGCAGCCTCAGCCATTTGGAATATGGTTCAAAATCTAGAAATGAAAGATAAAGACCTTTCAGCTCTGAGAAAAATGACAGAGCTCACAATGTTACTCCATAGGAGAGGTGTGACAGCTCCCTCAGGCCCATTGATTTAGAATTATCTATAAAATTAATGAAGGCAGCAGTTTAGAAAGTGGAGTCATACTAATTAACATTAGTAGGAAGTGATGGCCGACATTGGAAGGAGGAGACAGAAGAATTATGAAAAACTGTCAGAAAAATCAAGGGCATTGTAATCTAGGACCATTCTGTTTAGGGGAAAATAGCTTCACATTTCAGTAGCTCCTCAGAGTATTCAGTGTCACAACACAGAATCATAACCGATGTTCTTCTTTTTGATGAAGCCAAGTCCTTAGCAGTGATTAAATTATAATCATTGTAGCTGCTTCAGAAATAAGAAATGTATATAATATATTTTTTAAAGATTTGCATAAGAATGGTCAAAATAATGATTCCACAAGAACCCTTAAAGCTTTGCTCTCTGGAAGATTCATATATGTAGGATGCTTTATTTCCTGGGTGTGCTAAATAAATAAAGCATTACTGTCAAAATCTGAAGCAAATATTATTAAAAAGATGAGCCTATTATGAAGAATTGCCCCAAAGCACCAGCACATTGTTCTGTGAGCCAATCAGAAGCGAATCACAGACTGCTGTTTAGAGTGACCATGCCCCAGGCCCATCTGCTGGTGGGCAGCAGGTGCTGGACCAAAGCCCCTTCCTTGTTTGGAGTCAGGGCTTCATCGGGGTTCCTTCAGCTTCGGCGGTGGTCTGCCTGCAACAATGCATGTGGCCTGGAAACCATCACGCTGCTCTGTGCTCCACGTGCAATGTCCATTGCCTGGTGTCATTGTGACACAAGTGTCTCATCCTCAACCTGTCCATATCTTGCTTTGAAGACGATGTGGTTGATCATGCCATTAGAAAGGGAGACCCTATTTGAGTTCATTTGCAATCACAAAAAAAAGTGAGGGAACTTTACAGAGTGTAAAATATATTTGATGGTCAGTGAGTTTTCTTTCATTCACCCACTTTTCATTTGAAAGAAAAAAAAAATGAGAAAGAGAAAAAGCCCCAGAGCTATGACATCACCCACCTCTTGCTAATAGTCACAGAGGAATGCCTGCCACCTTGCCTTATACGTTCTTACTTCTCTCCATAGGATATGGCCAATGCATTTGCACAGAAGCACCTTCGCTCTATAATCCTGAATGTGAGTTCTTGGAACACGTATTTTGTTACTGTTTTGTTACTATTAATAGCAGTGATTACGATTATACCAGTTATTATCATTATTATTGAGTGGGAAGGGCACACAAGGAACTCATCAGTAGGTACCAAACACTTCTAAACTGGAAAACTTTTCCTTGGTCTCTAGGAGGCCGCCCCACCAGGAATTGCAGCACCTCTAGGGAGGGACTAAGGGCAGCAGCAGTACTCTGTTGCCCTGCAACTCCAAAATTGTTATCCAGAGGGAATATGTTAAAATAGGCACCAGAGAGGAACGTGATTGAGCCAGCTACCACAATCATAAACCTGAATTGTGCAGGGCATGACAGAGATAAATAAGAGTGTGTATTTGCTCTCAGGAGCTTCTGGCCAGTAGGAAAGACTAGTGATCAGAACACACTGTGGTGTTTGTGGTCTGAGAAAGGACAGGAGGAGCAGTGAGTCCTGCCTTGAAGGAGAGGGCATCAGGAAGCCTTTAGAGGAGTGTCTTCAGGTGAACCTTGGAGGATAAGAGGCAGACAGGAAGGCTGGAAATTCCAGCCAGAGGGTGGCAGGGACCTAGGAGTGTGTGATTAGGTATGGCGGGGTGGGGCAAGGAGCAAGTCAAGTGGCAAGGACCAGATCAGTTAAGGCCTTAGTCTTATTCTGAAGGACACCTGAGGGAATTTAATTAGGATGATGAAATAAGCACATTTGCATTTTAGAAAGATTGTACTGAAAGATGTGTGTTTCCTGGGGGTGTCTGAGGGGGGAGAGCATAGTAGGAGTTGGGGGGTTCTGGAAAGAGGTCTGGTTCCCTGTTGCCACAGAGGTGACATGGGGTGGAGGAGGACTGAGCTGGGAGGTGAGGGTGTTGGGAACTGGGGAGGAGCCAAGGATCTGGATTAAAAGGAAGCAATTTTTTTTGTTTTGTTTTTGTTTTTAATCAATATTTTTTATTATGATGTGGGGTACAGTTAAGGGTTAGGTATACAATTACGTTTCATTCAGGCACCCTGTTGATAAGAGGTG